TTTTCTCTCTTCTGATTATACTTTTCATTTGTCTCATTCTGTTTTTCCTATATATATCTGCACAGAGCTTTATTTCTCTCTATAGAAAAGAATAAATTTTCTATTTTTGTCTAGATAGACACTTAGATATATTCTGTGCGCTGTAAAACACTCCTGACATACATTTACAGACAGAAGGAAAAGAAAAAAAGAAAAAAATCGGCGTGCGTCCTTTATATATCATCCTTTTCTGTTCTGGCGCAGCTGATAAAAGAAAGATTGTAAATGTAAAATGTAACTTTTTTGACAAAAGTTTTAACATTTACATTTGTTGCTACAGGTCTAATACCCTGCGTTTATAACCTATGTTTTCATGCGCTTCCGAAATTACTACTACTGAAGAACAGTCGCCAGTACATGTCTCAAGAAAATGGGGATCAGCCGAGAACCATAAGATATACAGAGGTCAGACAGTAAAGAGAAAGGAACCGTTGAGCTATGAGTTCTTGTTCATAATACTTCAGTGTTTATCTAAGACCAAACTGTAAAATTCATGTGAATCTGTAATCGCACTAATCCAGATGAAGTCAACAGTTTCGACCAAGATCTGAATCACGTTTTAGCAGGGGCACGAAATTTAGATTTATTAATAAATCTTGATCAAATTCTCTCAGTTTTGAACGACATAAATATCTGTTTCAATATCTTGATCAAGAATTTTCAAGAAAAAGAATCTTTGAATAACTGGTGTAGATTTTCTCTTTCTGTAACACGTGGGCACAACCTAAACTTGGTTAAGGTTTCATCGATGTTGTTACGACCCACAAGCCGTTTTGATAACAAATGTAGAGTTGAGCGATGACGCAGTACACGCGGAAGTTTTACAGATTTCTGCGTGATATAGAAGCACAGTGATGTTTTTCTACTCATTGACTTTCAGTCACATACATACCGAAAATCAGTATGTGCAATTAGTTTATTTCATATCCGTAATCTTATTTCTAAGTCAGCCTGGCCAAGCGTAACGGACGGAAAATTTGACGCACTCAGAGACAAATATTTCGATGACAGCAGAGACTACCGAGTTGAAAATTTATTGTATGGTGGTATACCATGAGTTCTATCTCTGGTGAAAATTTCAACTCATGCAGTGCATAACTCATTGAGCAGCGAGCAAAATAGTATGCATTCGTAACAGACGAAAAAATAGACATAGATTAGCAAGGCTTGTAGAAATGTCGTTTTTACTCTGAAAGTAGAGGTGTGAGAAAACAATAGTTCACATAAAAAATGTAGAGAATTACTTGAGGTATCGAATGGTGTGATTGGTTTTTAAAAAATATGTTATCAGCGTTCCATGGAGTAAAAAAGATCATCGTAACAGACGGAAAATTTCGCAGCAGGCCGAAATATTTCTTTGCTGCTTTGTGCGGTGGTTTATGTCACGCCTTTTCATATATATAAACAGAGCACATGTAAGTCTGTATATAGACTTATATGTGCTCTGTTTGATGCAACTGAAAATAAAGTTAACAAACTTGTTTAACTCATCGAAAAAGTGGTTACAAAAACTGGTTTTCCAGAAAACTCTCTTGACTTTAAAACATGTTATAAGCATCGCAACTTCGACAAAATTACACTATTTTGTGGAGAATTCAATTCTCTATCGATTAGCATAGTCTTGAAGTTTTTTCAAGAAAATATCTAGCTGAGGAAATTGAAATTACAAAATTTTAAATTAAAATCTTTACCTTTAAGTTTTAGTTTTTATACATTTTAAAGTTTATTTTCGTGATCAGCGTGAAAAACTGCAACTAGCGATGTGTCTCTCGATTTAATTAGGTAGAAAATTTTTTCAACCCTTCGCAAATAGGTGGTCCGTTACGTGGCCAGGCCGAAGTGTTATCTCAATTGTAACAGAAATAGTATTTTGACAAAAGTTTTAAAATTAACGTAAAAATGCAAGAAAACTCTTATTGGTTCGATGATGGTAGATGTTGCAGTTGTAATCAAAAGCATGAAATATCTCTATATGATTTCAGGCATGTGAAAAAATAACTTTCCTGGTGTTAATTTGATCTTTGAGATTTCATCAGACAATCACTCAAGCTAGTCATCAGCGAACACAGTGAGCTTCTCAATCCACCTCAATCGTCAACTCTTTCACCATGCGGTAAATTGTTAATGCATCTAGATGGTATAAATGATGTTCCCAAATGAATTTTTTCATTTGAGCATAAAGCTCAGCTGAGGACTGTGGAAGTAGAAGACGATTTCTAATGGAGTTGATATCGGCACGTTGTCTTGACGGTGTTTTCTCCGTTCACTCAAATAATTGCGCCGCCTCTCTTAATCAACCTCAGTTGTGAAAACACATAAAAGACTACCTGGTAAAAACACTCATTTTTGTTTTCGTGTACGAAGGGTAATTACCAACATGTAACGCTTGAATGCTCTCCTCTTCACAAGTTATAGAAAATGGAGATATCGTACTCGCTTTCATTTACGTAAAAACCACAAAAATATGGCTACACTACGTTTTTTCGATGTTCAAGAAGAACCAAAAAAGCTTTTGTTACCCATTGACGGTTATCAAAATTTACCTTTGATGCCATTAGAAGACGCTGTCAGACCCTTGTTCTCACTGGCTGATGATTTACAATCTCGTGTTTGGATTGCAAAAGAAAATTGTTCCTCACCTCAAGATCCACTTAGCCAAGATGAAGCAGCTGCAATTTATTTGTATACTCTTGAATGGATACCAACTGATAGAAGTCTCTATTATAAATTAAATCAATCATTACGCTATGAAAATCGACAAAAACTAATACCATGGTTTGCATATTTAAAATTACTTTTAACTGCTCTCTACAAGCTACCATCCCAAAAGCGGACAATATGGCGTGGTGTTAATGCAGATATTAGTAAACTTTACCCAGCTGGTAGTAAAAAAGTTTGGTGGGGTATTAGTTCATGTACTGAATCTGTTGCCGTATTGGAATCATCACAATTTTTGGGTAACACAGGTACAAAAACATTATTTTCAATTGAATGTAAAAATGGCAAATTGATTCGACCCTATTCGTATTATCAAGATGAAGACGAAATTCTTCTACCACCGGCCACCTACCTCGAAACAGTTAGCCAAATTCAGCCGGCACCTGGTCTTCACATTATTCATCTGAGGGAGAAAGAACCGCCTCACGTTCTAATTCAACCACCAAATAATGCAAACACTAAACAGCGAGATGAATGGGCACGCCCTCCAGCATCAGCGAGTCCCACTCGACGTTCTGATACAAACGCGATACGTATTGATAGTAAAACACAGATCGATTACGATCATCTTATGATCAAACAAAAGAGAATTAAAAATGATATTGTTAGTATCCAACGTAATTTAGATGATTTAATACGGCAAAAAGATAAAATAAATAGCGATATTTATCGAACAAATCTGGAATATGAAGAAGCCGAACATAAAAATCAGAAAACGGAACGAGAGTCAGAACATAGAATGCAACAATATATGTTCAATCTTCAAGCGACTGTCAGTCAAAGTTTATTTACTCAACCATCTGGAAGTTATCTCGATCAACTCTTAGCTAAACAGCACAAGGATAAAAATAATACTTTCGACGATGCTTTTGGTAACAAGTTTCACCACGAAAAGGCTGCTGCCTTGCTGAATTTCTGGTCGAAACAATCACAATTAGAAAAACTCGTTGAGTACAAACGATATTTAGATGACAGTTTTGATGAAGCTAAGAAAGAATTAGCTAAACTGACAGAGGAAGAACAACATATTAAGAAAAAACTTGATAAAATCAAAAAAGAATTAAAATAAATTTTATTGGTTTAACTAGAAAAATGCTTCAATAAATGCTATAGAATCGCACACCAAATCTGTCAGAATTCTTTTAAGATACTAACACAGTTCAGAGCCTTTTTCATAGCAAAATAGTGGTTCAGTTTTGCTCAAAACTTTTGCTATTAGTCCGAATCTGAATTTATTTGATATACTGTTAAAAAAATTTCATCAGTTGGAAAAGGGGAGCGAATAATGTCACATTTGAAAAGTATTTACTGTCTTTAAATCAAAACCGAAACAAATGACACTCGACTTGTTTTTTCTTAATTACACGCTACGCAACAGTTTCTTATTTGTCTAAAAAGTGATTTCGGAAAGGAGATTATTAATTCAACAGTTTCAAAATCAAAACAAGTGATAAGCGGACGGCTTTTTCCTGCTCACATCGGCTTTTT